AAGAAATTGTAGAAAAGGCAGGGCATAAAATAATCTTTTATCCAAAGTATCATTGTGAATTGAACTATATAGAAAGTTTTTGGGGGGCAACTAAACAATATGCCAGAAAAAATTGTAATTATTCATTTAAAGAATTAGAAAGAACTGTTCCTCTGGCATTGAATTCGGTTTCACTTTGTAAAATTAGAAAATTTGCTAGAAGATGTTATAGATTTATGAGTGCTTATAGATTAGGACTTTCAGGAAGAGCTGCAATATTTGCAGCAAAAAAATATAAATCCCATAGAAAAGTACCAGAATCTGTGTTAATGGATGTAGATATATTATCATTGGGATGATTAAAAATAAATCGTTTGAATTATCACGTGATAATTTTTGATCTATTCTCGTTTTTTGATTGGCCAAATTAGTTTGATCGGCGTGCCGAAATTTTTTAATTTATATCAAAATTACTTAATTTTAAACCCCCATAACTTTTTTTTTTACTAATTAATTTTAAAAAATCTCTCTATTACATTGTTGCTTATGTTTCAAAGATTGCAAAAATAGAAAGATTTTTGTGGCCTGACAAATATTTCCAAATCTATCAGGGTTTAAAGATTTGCAATTTTTTTGATGTCTTTAGATACGGCGCACCATATAAATTATACATATTAATATGTGTATATATGTATATGTGTAAATATACAATTATGTATAATAATTGAAAGTTAAATCAATTTCTCACCTATTTTTTTCTAATATTTTTTGTTATATGCTTCAGATCACCAAAAACTTTATTGACCTGTCATTCTCCTCTCAGAGTTTTATTGCTATCAAGATCACCATCAACACATATATCTAAAAGCATATCATGTTGATCAAGTATTGGTGTAATTTTATTTAGAATAGCAATTAATATTGCATGTTCCATCTGTTTGGATGATTTGTCAAAATTCCTTGATGAAGAGTTTTAGAATCTCCAGTTTCATTCCTTATCACTCTGGTTTTCTCAACAACATGATAAGCAATTACTGGCTTGTAATTGTAGTCTACAAATAAACAAAGTATGTTAAAAAATTTATATTCTAATCTAATAAAGTTATAAAATTACCAGGGTGATTTCCTTGAAATATAAACTCTCCACTAGCTTGGTTTGCATTTTGTACATGTGACCAGGAAGTATCAAAACTAACAGAAAGAATATTCTGATTAAGAGATTTTACATGAGATATGCATGTCATCAATGCATCTTTTACACTCTCTCCTGCTTCCAAGGTCAATGTCTGAAAAAACTTTTTTTGGTTGTTATGAAATGTCCTCTTACAAATTTGGTTGGTTATTCCCATAGATGCAAGAAAGGTCTCATTCTGTTGACGATTTAATCCAGTAACCAAACTTGAGCCTGCTACCAATAAACTAAAATTTGGATTAAGTGGCTCATTAGAGTATTCTGCAATACTATCACACATGAGACATCTAATTGTTGTTTTTATAGAAAAACCAACATTGTATATTTCCCATATCTTATTATCAATTGATTTATTTTTGCAATTCATGCAGGGTTGCCCCAAAAGTAATTTAAAATATTCTCTCATGTTAATAAATATAGTAGATCCAAGGCTGTTGTTTTGTATTGCTTGTTGAACAGCAGCATCAATATATTCTTGTTCTATCAGATCATCATCATTTTTGTTGGTGGTTTTGTGAGCTCTAATCACAGTTTCTTTAGCCTGTTTTAATTTTTTATTTGTCTGGTAATATTTCTGTCTATATTCAACATAACCAACCAATAAGCCTTGTGCAGTATCTTTATCTATTTCTAGACCATCAACATCAACCATTACTCCAGACTTTACATCTGTAAGTTTGTGTGATGAAGTACCACCATCTGAATTAATTATTTCTTTTACAATTAACCCCCCTTTTCTTTTCATCCGATTTTGTACAGACTTGGTCATCTTTTCAGCCTTCAGAATTTTTTTGTCTATGAGGTTGGTAAAAGCCTCAGGATGTTTTTGAATTACTGCAGCTCTAAGATATTTTATATTTGTTGCATTATTCAATCCTAATATATTAGGATATATTAGGTATCGAATGATTCCCTTTTTTCTTACCTTTTATATATTTGTGGAAAGAAGAAAATATTCATTAGATGAAGATTGATGTGTAATATTAGTTAGAGTTCTGTCTTCTGCATAATCCACCCATGAAAAATTTAATAAATTATCCTCATTTTTTTCAATAGTAAATCAGAAAAAAGACTTAGCAATATAAGAAATTATAGAATAACCAGGAATTATGGGTACAAATGTCTTGTCATCCATGTCAGACATTCCTTTAACTAAAATTTGTTGATAATAAGAACTTGCAGATAATCATTTATCTCAACAATTTTATGTTGCTCTAAAACCTCTAAAGAGTAATTATCATCACGAACAAACCAACTTCCTTTTTGCCCAGTTTCAAAAGCTTTATACATAGGGTTTGATTCACATAATTCTTGGTACCACTTCATTGTTAAGCAGAATATGTGTTCTTTATTTAAATTATGTCTTATATTAATACATATAATAAATTCTATAATGATTAACATGCTTTGATAAGAGTATTTATCATTTAATTGACATTTCTATATGTTTACTTACAACTTTACTATTCTTAATAACATCCACTTGGTATTTTCTATATCTTCACTTAGTGTTTTCTATACATTCACTTGGTGTTTTCTATACATTCACTTGGTGTTTCTATCGCTTTACCATGTTTTAATTAGTAATCTGAGAATTTTAATTAGTAATCTGAAAATAGGTCCGACCTTAAAGTTGTAATAACTCTAGCAAGAGTAAAATAATTTTTTATGGTTTTTATATTAAATTAAAATTCAGAATCTTGAGAAACCAAAAATATAAAAATATATACAATTTTAATTATTTTTACGCATCTTAATAAGAGGCTTATTTTTCAATTAGGTAAAATCCAAATTAGCCACTGTAAGATCATAGTGAAATTCGTGTTACGTATACTCTACCCTTAAGGGGCAGGTCGTTTTTCCAGAAATTTTGGCTGATCGACATTGAAATTTTACTATTATATACTATGGTGCAGGACACCTAGTCCCTACAACTTTCTGCGCCACAGTGACAGATTTGGGAAAAATAAAATTTTTACAGTCACGTGTTTTAAAAATAGCTTTGTCACGTTGCATTCTCTTTATTAGTATAGTAAATTTGTTAAAATTGTGCAACTTTAAGGCTTAATTCCTCCACAACAACATGGCATATCAACAAAATGAAAATGTCATCTTGTTCTTTTGGTCACACATTTCCATTTTTGGAGAATTTAAAAGATTTGCAAGTTGTAGGGACTAGGTGTCCTGCACTATAATAAAAACTCAAATTGAATGTCTTCAGTCCCTTATTTTATACCCTTGTTTTGTATCAATTGTCTCCAAAATTTCCACATTGTTTATTTTTCATGTTCTTTATTTTGTAAAAATTTTTCAAGTAAGATTAATAAAAGAGCGGAAAAGAATCAAGGTCTCTAAGTTTTTTTTGTCTTTGTGTGACAATATAAGTGCAAATGGGGATTCACATCTTGCAAGTAAACTTGTAAAACTAGTGAAGTATTTATATTTAAAGAAATTTTAAATAATGAATAGTTTGACAAATAAATTATTATTTTTATTTTTATTATTACATTTTTATTATATTTCTTTGTTATATTAATTACACAGGAAGGGTGTTCATTAATAGATGTTTATTATTATTTGTGTTAATTATATATTATATCGTTAATTTGATTCTTTTATTATAGATATAAAGAATAATTAAATAAAATCGGGATAGAGATACTTGTAATGTATAATATTAAAACTTTTGACTTTTTTGTTAAATCATTATTCTTAAATCTTTTGAAATTTCAGAATTAACTTTTTTTACTGTAAATTCTGGAAAGATAGCACCCCTACTTTAAAACAATTGAGCATCAATATAAAAAAATTGTTACACATATGTAAAAAGGGGATGCTATCTTTCCAGACTTTATGGTATTATGATAATATATTGAAGATAGAATTGACAAGATATGGCGATGACATAAATTATGATGATACTTACCAACCAACCTTTAGACACACCATCCAAATAATACCAATCAAGAATATAGATGTTAATCACAACTTTTGATGGTGGTTGCAATAACCTTTGTGATCTTTAATAGCCTTTGTGATCGTAATAACCTTTGTCATATTTGTCAATAAAACATCATAAAAAAGATCAAGATGTGTAACTACATTAGAAGCTAAAACTACATTACATCTGTTATCCAAGGATAAATTTCTGAAGAGTAAACATTAAACTATCTTACCTACTTTAAATAAGCAGATCTAAGTGACATGTGGAGTCATGAATTATTAAGTCATGAAATTGCTCAATAAAAGTAATAAAAATATACGTTTTTTATTTTTTTGAAAATTCCGTTAAGTGAGTTGTCTTTATGGTACTAAAGAACAAGGTTCACTTTGGTTTATTGACTATTGTAATCAGCATAAAGCTTGCCTTGTTGAAAAGAATCAACATTTTTAGTGTAAATTTTCATGTGTATTTTGACCCACTATTGTGAGTTCGAAAAGCAGCTTTATTTTAAATAAAAGGTGCCAAAATATTTATTGAAACTTCAAGAAAATTTTTTATATATATCATTTTTTTTAATCTATTAAGAAGTTATAAATGTTAAAAGAAATTCTTGGCATTCAAGCGAATGTTATACACACTAATTAAAAAAAAGAGAAAGGATTTGCACACTGATTTGTATCACAATCAAAAGCAATATAGTGCAGGACACCTAGTCCCACAACTTTTTATTGGTCTGTATATCCTTTAGTATACCAGAAATGGAAATGTAACACCAAAAAAACAAAACATGATTTTGAAGCTAAGACCTTTC